ACTCTTCCCATTTGTACCACTTCTCAGATTCAAGCACTGAATCTTATCCAAAACCAATGCCAGCCTTCAAAGCTCTTAATTGTGGTATCCCAAACAGAAAGAATGTACATTATTTTAACTCTAGTGGCCACACCCAGACACGCAAAGGCTTACGTTCCTAACAGCTGCAATCTCAGAATACTGACAGATTGGTTAGGTTCATATCCTTATGTTGTTCTTATAATGCCTTACACTATAAGGCAACTTTTTCTCATAGCTGTCTGGCAAAACTCAGCATTCACACTCAAATATAACAAGGTCTAAATACTTTCCATGGCTCTTGCTCACCTTGACCTTCCCTCATTTTCCCTTCCTCCTGTTCTCTTCACTATCAGATTTCATATTGTAGCATCTGTCAGACAATTATCCTTATGTGCTAAAACATGTTTACTATACTGGCAGTGCGGCAGAAGCAATAGCTACTCATTGTCCTAAGTCAGTAGACGTTTCTATAAAATGTAATGCCTTCGCTATCCAATTGTTCACTCAATCCAGACATTAGAAACAACCAGAGTAACAATAAGTTGTATCCATGGGTTTTTTTTCTGGAAAAAGTGATATAAAACTGTTAAATTAGGTGTATGTGAGTGAATGAAGTACTAAATAAATAAATAATCTACTTTCCTTCTGTTCATTATACTGAGCAATAATGACCTTGTGATCCAAAGCATCACACTATATTTATTTCCCATTTTAAAGTACTGTTTGATGTTTGTTTGTTGTTGTTTTTTAAAAAAATCTGATATATTCTATTCCACTTCATGATTTTGAAACATAAAACTGTATTTCATTATGTGAGTGTCTTAGCAATTCTTTACCTCTTGACACGTTCTGTATTCCTAGAAAGGTATAGCAAAGCTAATTCCTTCCTAGAAATCCATCTTTTTATACTCCAACAACAACAATTTATTATGGTCCATAGACCCATCAGTGAACAAGCAGTCATATAAAATTATCCCATCTCATTGTCGAAAATTAGTATACATGTTTCAAGTAATGCACCTATCCGAGGTTAGTTTCTTTCTCAGCCTTGTTGACACTGCAAGGAATTTTGCCACTATGAGGATCATCCTGTGGCACTTATGCTCTAAAAGGTATCTAACAATCCCTTGCAGGTGATGGTTGGTCATGTAGGACAAAAATGGATATAAAAGTTGGCTATATTTCACTGTGTAATAGCTGCACTTCAATAAAATGTATTCTATTGTTTCTACTTCATTTCCTTCACAGGGGCATAGTCTTTGGACGTAAGGAGATCCAGACAATCTGCCTCTTAGCAGCTCTGAGGGAAATATGTTTAATCTTGCCTTTGTAAAGCATTTGTGATAGTTGATCACTATAAGACTTTTTAGGTAGTCACATGTCTTAAATGGCTCTCTGTATGACAAGTTGAAGACTGTGAGAGCATGGTGAATTTGAGCAGGCTATAAGCTCTCCCAGGGCAATGTCCTGCAATCCTTTTATACTGTAAGAGGAATGGGGGAGGAAAAAACCTCTATATCTTCAAATGTGGTATAATTTAAGTCACATTCTTATATCCAAAGGCTATATCGAATTTAGTATAAATTGAGACAGACCCTAGTCTGATACAATTTTTGGACCATGTGATTAGCAATAGAAATAATGAATGCACTATGATTCCTCTCTTCCTTTCAATCAACTAAATGGTTTTTTTAAACCTTACATCCCAAACCAAGCAGAATATCAGCTCCCCAAATTTCCCCATGTCATATATACACATGTTTTTTTCTTAAGTATCTTTAGTTTTACAAATACAGATTAACACTGTGGCCTGTGCCACCTCAAAGAGTGCCCATTTAGCACACTGTTAATTTTTGAGACAGGAACCTCCTTATTTCAGGTGAACATTAACGCATATTATGAAAAAGGCTGCTGTCCATCAAAGTTGTTGCATACAAGAAAACGCTTTAGCTCTAAAATGCCACAGGTCTACTGCTATATCTGCTACTGCACAGATATTCCCTATAGCAGAAAGCTGCATTTGGCCAACAAAACTCTAATCCTCTGAATGAGTAGGATGTGCTTTTTGATCAACGTGAGCACATCTTAGTTCTCCTTTTCCTCCTTCTTGAAGTTCATGGGTTTAAAAATCTTGGCATCGGTCCCCTTAGAAAATGACAAAATGTCATGCCTTCCTTTAAAGTCAGAGTGACAAACTGCAGTTCTAATAATCTTCGCTGGCAGTGATTTGTCTTCAGGCTATCAGCCCACCTCTCCTCCTTGTTGGCTTTTAATATTGAAGCAGTCGGCTCTTTTCCCCATGTGATGTGGAGTCTCCAGCGAATCTTAATTCAGTTCCAGTGCTCACCAACAGATATTCATCTATAGCACTGCGAATGGCAAAGCCCTCATTCCTGCAATTGCATTGCATTGCAGCAGTGCAAAGATTCAACCTTGGATTTCATAAATCCTCTTTCAATTACTTGCTTTACTATCAGCATAATAAGGAAAGGGATGGGATCTTAGGAAGCAATTATCCTGAATCCAGGCATACAATAAAAGCATTCTCTCTTTACTTGGCTGATTTTTAAAATATGAAATATTAGTTGTGACTCTCATTTCGATAGTGCCAGCCACAACTGTTCAGCATTTCTTCAAATGTATCCCCTAAGGAAATGTGCATTTCAACAGATGATAAAACAGCAATTTCAGATTTGATTTGATCGCTGTATTATTTTTGCTACTTGACCCTTGCAGTTGCTGCATTGTGCTTCTTACTGAAGTCTTCCAGAAAACCCTCTAAACCTTATTGAAGAGGAATACCAAGACTATGCCAAGTGAGAGAAGGAAAGCGGCTCACATATGTATACTCTGTATGCTAAAAAACCATATGAATATATTGTCGAAGGCTTTCGAAAGGCTTTTATTGTCGAAAAGATTCACACCTAGCCCAACTTACAAAAGCCTTTTGTCTCACCCTGGTCATTCCACAGATATATAAACCCCTTTTTTCCCAGCTCCAGCAGACCTCACCTCTGAGGAAGCTTGCCATAGATGCAGGCGAAACGTCAGGAGAAATGCCTCTAGAACATGGCCATATAGCCCAAAAAAACCCACAAGAACCATATGAATATATGTCATTCAAAACTCCTGTGCCAATAAAGCAATGCTCCTCCTGACAGAGGGTTCATAGAAGAAGGAGGCACTCCTCTTCCAAATCCAGGGCTCATTCTGAGCTTATTATCCAGGTTCCTTTCCTGCCCAAATCCAGGGTAAAAAGGCTCCTTAAAGTGCAGTGATTGAGAAGGTAAAGCGATGGGGGCAGTGCAATTCTAATATGGAGAAATGAAAAAGGAAAATGGCTGATCATCAGCATTTCTTGCAGCTATTGCTGTTCAGGCTCAACAATCCACTTGCAGCTATTTTGCTGCTTCTCTGAGCATCTTCTGGCCATGATGCGCCCTTTTACTAAACCAAGAGAGGCCTCGAGGGTGGAGATAGCCTTGAGGATGGATCTCTTTTTGAACAGGAGGCATATGTTGGGGTGTGGAGTCTTCAACGACTAGGACAGCCATCTCAAGGCAGCGAACAAGCTAGACAAGGCATACGAGCGTGGTCCAGTGCCATGTGCAACCAGCCAGCCAGGAACATATGATCTACAAGGAGCTCTGCTATCACTCCCCATTTGCCCATTCCAGCTCCTCCTATAGGTGGCCCCTTCCACACAACTGAATAAAATCCCACAGTATCTGCTTTGAACTGGAATATATGGCAGTGTGGACTCAGATATCTCAGTCCAAAGCAGATATTGTGGATTTTCTGCCTTGATATTCTGGTTATATGGCTGTGTGGAAAGAACCGGTGTGTGCAATTGTACATGGGGCAAAAAAAAAAAAATCCACACACATCCTATGGCAAAATGGGCTATTGCTTAGATCCATTTCACAATTGGATTCTGTAGTATCCAAAACCCAACCAATCTCTCTGTTATAGAATTATGGAGAGACTAATACTCCGATCCACAATCTGGCAAGTTGTAAAATATGAGTGCAGTAACAGTTTAGCTGCCAGTATTCCCTCGATCCATTCTGTAAGGGGAAGGGCAAACATCTTATGGCTAAGGAACTAGATCTTGTCCCAAAAACATAAAGTATTTGGGAACAAAAGACTTATCTTTATCCAGCAAATAACTCAGTAGGAAGGGATGCAGTGGAATTTAAACCATATATGGAGACATGTAAGAGAAGAGTATGGCCTCTTCCACACAACTGAATAAAATCCAACATTTTCTGCTTTGAACTGGAATATATGGCAGTGAGGACTCAGATAAACCCATTCAAAGCAGATATTGTAGGATTTTCTGTCTTGATATTCTTGGTTATATGGCTGTGTGGAAAGGCCCTGAGTCCACATTGCCATATATTCCAGTTCAAAGCAGATACTGTAGGATTTTCTGCCTTGATATTCTGGGTTATATGGATGTGTGGATGGGCCCTATGTCTGCCCATATTGGCCGGACCCATGTGAGCCTCAGATATGGAGCAGGGTCACACCACAATCAACCATTATGCAGCCAGCTTTATGTAATACTTTGAAAGAGTGAGAACATCAGCCTTAGGAACCTAGTCTACATCCAAAAGAAATGGTACAAGCTAGTATGAAAAAACTGGATGGGTAAACTGAGACAGAGATGAACCATTCCAAGCAAGCAACTGCCATATGAATGTAGCTGGATGGGTGCAGAATGAAAAATACATTCACATCCTTTCATTCCATCATTTCATCTTCTCGCCCCACCCACCTCCCACTCCTTTACCAGCAGCTCTGAAGGAGTTCAATGCCAAAGTCATGACCACCTCTTCCACCCACCCACCCTCATACACATGCCTTCCCACATGCCCACCTTCTTTTTTCCCCCTCGCATAATGCGCAAATGCACCTGCTGCCCCAGGAATGAAAGGGTCCCAAAGCAGGAAAGGGACTCAACATCTATTACTCACAAGCGTTGGTGACAGCAAAGCTGTTGGCCACCTCCAGGTTGTCGATGTGGGATGTGAGTCGGAAATCTGAAGTGGAAAACTGAACCAAGCCTACCCGGAAAGCACTATATTCCTGGTCGGCTCCCCTGGGGAAGAGCCCCCCTGTGGGATGAGAAACAGAGAAAGAGATAGATAGGAGGGGGGGGGGGAAGAGAGAGAGAGAGAGAGGACATCAGTGCTGCAGGCAAGGTGGCAGCAGTGCCAGATCCATCAAGAAACAGAAACCCTTCATTCACCCACTTGCCTTCAGGCTCATTGATCTTAAAAGCCTTGCCATCTCAAAGGTTGCAGGCTGGATCTACACTGCCATATAATCCAGATTATCAATGCAGGTAGTCCACGTAGTCTATGTTGACCCGGATGATATGAGTCTGCACTGCCATATATTCCAGATTATCAAAGCAGGTAACCCACATTATCTACTTTAAACCGGATTATGAGTCTACACTCCCATATATTCCAGATTATCAAAGCAGGTAGTCCACATAGTTACTTTAAACCAGATTATATGAGTCTAAACTGCCATATATTCCAGATTATCAAAGCAGGCAGTCCACATTGTCAACCTTAAACCGGATTATATGTGTCCACACTGTGATATAATCCAGATTATCAAAGTAGGTAGTCCACATTGTCTACTTGGACCAGATTATACGAGTCTACAGTGTAATATAATCCAGATTATCAAAGCAGGTAGTCCACATTGTCTACTTGGACCAGATTATATGAGTCTACACTGTGATATAATCCAGGTTATCAAAGCAGGTAGTCCACATTGTCAATTTGGACCAGATTATATGAGTCTACGCTGCCATATGATCCAGTTCACGTCAGATAAACTGGATTTGATATGGCAGTGTAGATCCAGCCTAACTCAGAATAAACCAGATTAGATTCTGAGGAGGGAGGGAGGGGGAAAGTCAGGAAAAAGAAATGGCTGGATCCCACACAGAACCCTGTTTGGCATACATGAGGAGCGCCAACCTCCCTGCCCAATACCCCAAATTCCTTGGCAATTTGCTCCATTATCCGTACAGGATTGAATCTGAGCCATGGAGATGCTGGTTGGCAAGGAGGAAAGGGAAGAGAGGAGATGGGGGGGGGGGGGGGGGGAGAGAGAGAGATCAGTCACTGGGGGAAAGCCAAGGAGTCCATCTCCAGCCAAGGTACCTTCACATCCTCTCATTCCAGCTCCCAAAGGCAGCGTGCCATGAATCTGCCTGTAAGAGTGGAATGAGAGAAACCCAGAGCTGAACGAAAAGGGGAAGCAGTCAGAATTCATGCAGTGGCACTGGAAGGAAAGGGGGGGGGGGGGGATAAGGAAAGGGCAAAAGAGATGGCTCACCTATTTGCACGCCGTTGGCGTAGACCCCCCAGATGAGTCCCCAAACCAAAGGAGCCAGGAAGAGAGCAATCTGCCGGATCTTTTGCATTGCCATGAACAGGCGAGCATCCACAACGCCGCGAAATCCGTCGTCTCCCGCCGCCTCCTCTTCCTCGCCTTCTCGCCTGGCTCGTCTTCTTCGTCTTCGCCTTCCTTGCCCGTTTTCTCGCTCAGCAAATTAGATCCTCCGCATCTTGGGCGGGCGGCTGAAGGAGCCGCGATGGAGGAATGCAGCCCTCAGGAGCAAAGGGAGGGAAAGAGGAGGAGGAGGAGGAAGAGGAAGGCGCGCTTTGGCCCGCGGTTGCTGCAGTGCTCCCCGGGCTTGGGGAAAGCGCCGCCTTGGCTTGCGGGGCTCTTGTGGGTTGGGGTCTCCTTCCTTCGCCTCAGCCCCCGCGCTGTTCTCTGCTTGCTGGGCGTCGCTTGGGGACATCCAGCTCCTTCGCCGGCCAGCGCACGCATCCACCAGCCCTCTCTCGGTCTCCCACACGCGTGCACACACACACACACACAATGAGAGAGAGAGAGAGAGAGAAGGAGGCAGGCGAAAGGATGGAGATGGAGAAGGAGGAGGAGGAGAAGGAGCTGGCGTGCGCGTTCCCGCTAAGAGCGCGCCCCCGCTCCCCTCTTTTCCTGCCTGCCTCCTTGGCTTGCCTTCCACAAGGCCTCGAGGACGAGGAGGAGGAAGAAGAGGAGGAGGAGGAGGAGGAGGAGGAAGGCCGTGCGGGTCCTCTGCGGCTGGTCCTTTTCAGCACCGGGGACAGCGCCTTTGGGAGGAAAGGATGAAGGCAGAAGGGAGGCCTGGATGCCAACGCAGCCCGCCCCCTCCTGCTGCAGCAAAGCCACCTCTCTCCCCCCCCTCTCTCTCTGCTACCCCCTCCCATTTATTCTACTATGTATGCCCTTCTGACAGGAAGGAAAACAGGGTGGGGGTTGTGCTGATTTGCCAAACGCAACTCAGGAATTGCCTGTTCGTTTTCGAGCATGGTTTTCTCTCCCCCCTCCCCCTCTCTCTCCTACCCCCCCATTTCTCCCCCTCTCTCCCCCTCCCTCTCTCTCCCTCTCTCTCTCTCTCCTACCCCCATTTATTTCTCCCCATTTCTCCCCCTCCCTCCCTCTCCTCCCTCTCTCTTCTTCCCCTTCTCTCTCCTACCCCCATTTATTTCTCCCCCTCCCCCTCCCCCTCTCTCCTATCCCCCATTAATTTCTCACTCTCTCTCCCCCTCCATCTCTCTCCCCTTCCTTCTCTCCCTCCCTCTCCCTCTCCCACCCCCATTTATTTCTCCCCTCTCTCCCCCCTCCCTCCCTCTCTCTATCCCCCTATTTCTCCTCCCTCTCCTCCCTCTCTCTCCCCTCTTCTCCCCTCCCTCTCCCTCTCCTCCCCTTTCTTTCTCCCCCTCTCCCCCTTCCCCCCTCCCTCCCTCCCCCTCTCTCCTATCCCCCATTAATTTCTCACCCTCTCTCTCCCCCTCCATCTCTCTCCTCTCTCTCCCTCCCTCTCCCTCTCCCCCCATTTATTTCTCCCCCTCTCCCCCTCCCTCCCTCCCCCCTCTCCTATCCCCCATTAATTTCTCACCCTCTCTCTCCCCCTCCATCTCTCTCCCCTCCTTTCTCCCTCCCTCTCCCTCTCCCACCCCCATTTATTTCCTCTCTGTCTTTCCTCCCCCTCCCTCTCTCCCACCCTCTCTCTCTCCTATCATTTATTTCTCGCCCTCTCTCCCTCACTCTCTCCCACCTCTCCCTCCATCTCTCCTACCCCCATTAATTTCTCCCTCTCACCCTCCCTCCCTCTCTCTCTCTTCCTCCCTCTCTCTTTTCCCTTTGTATTTCTCCCTCCCTCTCCCCTCCCCTCCCCCTCCCCTCCTCTCCCTCTCCTCTCCCCTCCCCTCCCCTCCCCTCCTCTCCCCTCCCCTCCCTCTCCCCTCCTCTCCCTCTCCTCTCCCTCCTCCCCCTCTCCCCCCCCCCCTCCCCCCCCCCCTCTCTCTTCCCCCCCCCCTCTCCTACCCCCATTTATCCTCCTCTCTCTCCCCCTCTCTCCCTCCCTCCCTCTCTCTCCTTTACCCCCCCCCCATTTATTCTACTAAGTATACCCTTCTGACAGGAAAGAAAACAGTGTGGGGGTTGTGCTGAACACAACTCAGGAATTGCCTGCTCCTTTCCAAGCATGGTTTTCTCTCTCCCTCCCTCCTTCTCCCTCTCTCTTCCTCCCTCCCTCCCTCCCTCCCTCCCTCCCTCCCTCTTTTTCTCTCTCTCCCTTCACCTCTCTCTCCTACCCTCTCCCCATTTATTCTACTAAATATACTCTTCTAACAAGAAAGAAAACAGGGTGTGGGTTGTGCTGAGTTGCCAAACGCAACTCAGAAATTGCCTGTTCAGTTTCCAGAATGGCTTTTTCCTGCCCCCACTATCTTTCTTCCCTCCCCCGCCCCAAATCAGAGGGGAAATGACTGGCTTTTTACATGCTATTCACTTTCCAAAGCAATCCTCTGCGTTGGCGAGGTGGAGGAAGCATTTTTTTTCACCAGAAACAGAAGGGCTGGCAAGGAAGGTTCTGCCTTCCTCACTAACTCAACCACTGTGGTCCCAAGTTCTTGCTTTTGTGGAGGAAAACTGCACAGCCCACACTGCAAGCTAAATCAAAAACACACAAACAAGTGGAACCCCATGTCAGGATCCGGGCCTGTGCAGGCAGAGGTGTACCAAGAACACTTATACACTTAGGCGATCCCTCGTTGGACGAGTAAGATGGTCTTCCATCTTACCAAGAACAACACCCAAGTTGTGCACCAAACTACTTTAACTTTAAATGAGTGTTTCTCAACCTGGGGGTTGGGACCCCGGGGGGGGGGGTCATGAGGGTGTCAGAGAGGTCACCAAAGACCATCAGAAAACACAGTATTGAAAACACAGTAGTGGTGAATCCCCCCACCAAAAACCCTCATCTGCTTTGATTGGCTTCCCTCTCAGCCAAGGGGAGGGCTGTTTCTGAGACTGCAAGTCGGGAGGGGAGAGCAGGCATGCTCAGCACATGGCAGCAAAGTAAGCATGTGCATGCAAAGGAGAGTGTGCAAGGCTGGAGGGAGGCTTGAGCCGCTAAGAGCATGCCCCCCACTCCCTCCTTTTCCTGCCTGCCTCCTTCCATAAGATGAGGAAGGGGAGGAGGAGGAGAAAGAAGAAGAATAAGAGGAGGAGGAGGAGGAGGAGGAAGGCCGCGTGGGTCCTCTGCAGCTTGTCCTTTTCAGCACGGGGGCAGAACCTTTTGGAGGAAAGGATGAAGGCAGAAGAGGAGGCCTTGATGCCAATGCAACCCACTCCCTCCTGCTGCAGCAAAACACCTCTCTCTATTTCCCCCTCCCCATTCTACTAAGTATACCCTTCTGAAAGGAAGAAAAACATGGTGTGGGTTGTACTGAGTTGCCAAACTTAACTCAGAAATTGCCTGTTCATTTTCCATAATGGCTTCCTCCCTCTCTCTCTCCCTCTCTCCCTTTCTCACCAGCTTTCTTCCCTCACCTGCCCCAAATCACAGGGAAACTGGCTGGCTTTTTACCTGCTAATCACTTTCCAAAGCAATCCACTGCATTGGCAGGATGGCAGAATCAGTTTTTTTTTCATCAGAAACAGAGGTTCTGCCTTACTCACTAACTCTCCCATTGAGGGCTCAAGTTCTTGAGGAGGAGGAGGCAAATTTTTTTGAGGAGGCAAATGTACATCCCACACTGCAAGCATCTGCCAAATTCAATTCCTAGATCAGTGGTTCCCAACCTTTTTTGGACCAGGGACCACTTGGACCAGGGACCACTTTGACCAGGGACCACTTCACCAGACCACTTTGACCAGGGGCTACTTGATCAGGGACCGCTTTGACCAGGGACCACTTGACCAGGGACCACTTTGACCAGGGACTACTTGACCAGGGACCCGTTAACTAGGGACCACTTTGACCAGGGACCACATGACCGGGGACCACTTTGACCAAGGAATACTTGACCAGGGACCACTTTGACCACAGGCCACCCTCCAACATTAGTACCAAAAGGGTTATGAATCAATTGTTGGTCAACTTTAGATTTGTTTTGGGCGCTGATTCAAAAAACTCCATTGGATAAACCACATCAGCACTAGTTTCTGATTCAGAACATATGTCATGGCCACCGACAGGAGAAGGAGTGGCAGATGGCATGAAAGGAGCAGAAACAAAACAAAACAAAACAAAATAAAGAAGAAGGAGGCTCACGGACCAGACTGGTCCATGAGCTCCTTCCTCTTTATTTATTTTTACTTTATTTGCCCCAATGTGCTGTGAGGCACAAGATGACCAGATAGCCCAACTATCCTAAAGGCACCCAGTCTCACCCATCTCGGAAGGTTAACCAGGAGACCAGCAAATGTGGCAAAGTGTTGTAGGCTACATTATCAGAGAAAAGAATTGGTAAAATCACTTCTTCAGTATTCCTTGCCTAAGAAAACCCTATGAAATTCATAGGCTTGAAGGTACACACATACATGCAATCCCTAAATTTCTTAGACGGGTCCAAAACTTTTTAAACAGAGAGCCAGTTCATGATCTCTCAGACTGTTCAGGGGCCAGACTAAAGTTGAAAAACAATGAACACATTCCTATGAACGCTGCACATATTTGTAGTGCAAAAAACATGAAATAACAACATTTAAAATGTAGAACAATTTTAACCAACATAATCTTACCAGTATTTTAATGGGAAGTGTGTGCCTGCTTTTGGCGGATGAGCTAGTCAAGTTCATTAGGATTCTTTTTGTGTGCCTTACAGTCGTTTCAGAGTTAGGAGTCTAAAATTTAGGGCAGGGACTGGGAAAATGACCTCAGAGACTTACTTTGTGGACCCCTATTCTAAGAGGTTGTCAAGAGCACTCCTAGCTGTCTAAATCAGAATGTCATTGAGTTTTAAGGGTCCTCCTACGACATCATTGATAGCTATAGATTTCTATTGTATGCCACATGAAGAATTTAAACCCCTTTCCATCATAGGTGCTTCAGCTTGTTTCCACATTTGAACAAACAATAATTCATAGGCAAATTAGCATATCACCTGCATAGTTGACTTTGACAACCTCCAAAGTGACAGAATATGTTCTGCTGATTTAGCAAACAAATGTGTTTGAAAGGCAATGAAAGGATCACACTTTGACAGTGGCTATTACATGACTTTTTACCCTTCAAATATGCCCAGATCTACCCCAGGATTATTTTTATGGAGATCTAGTACTGAAGGCAATACAATAAATAATGAAAAATGACCTCTCTTTCCTGAAGTAAAGATATGGAGGCATGAGTTTCTTGAAGCCTGTCAATATTCTGTCCAAAAAGACTATAGGCAAACAGGGCAATTCTCTAATGCAGTTTTCAATGAGACAAAGAAAGAATTTGGATTTTCCCACAGTATGTTTGGAAACAGACAGTACCTGGAAAGAAGGATGAAAATCTAATAAACTGTAAGTCTGATCTATTATTCAGCTCATATATCCAATTATTCCCTTTGATTTTTCCAGGAAAGATGTGAGAAAGTAATTTTCAAAGCTAGTAGCTCTTGACAAATTGGGCCCAATCACCTCTTTTCATTAGTTCTCTTCGGTGAATATCAGGGAAGGCAATCCCAAAGCATATCTAATATCTAATATAACAAAAGAGCTGAGAGCTGGTTCTGAGTGCTGCTTCTATTGAGAGCTGGTTCTATTGATAAGCTTGTTCCTGTGGAACCTGCCAATGTATACACTAAAAATGTATTGTTGTGCCTTAACATTTAAAGTTTAAACATATTGTTGTGCCTTAAAGTTAATGTATAT